TGCAGGAAATGTGTGATGCTATCACATCAATAGGGACTAAATTTACATCACTGTGAATCTGTGCCATGATATAAGGCAGGTCTGAAGGCAAAAGCATGCCCAACTCTGTACCAGCCTGGGGTACTAACAAAGTGGCTGATTATTATATATGTAAATAGTAGTGAAATCTACACCAGCAGCCATAATACTGAAACCAGCAACAGGTAAAATCAGTATCAGTAACAGCATTTCTAATAGGTAAGCATGAATTGAGGCTCTGGCTAGGGGAAGGCAGAAGTCAGTGCTGATTTCCCAGGAGGAGGGAAACCTGCACAATATCAAGCAGGTGGTTTTACAGTTGTGGCTGATTGAGTGATTGTATTTTTACTTTTAGGAATAGTGTTTGTTCCATAGTTACATTGTAGCCTTGCTAATCCTGATGTGACCCTAATTGATTTAAGGCTTCTAGTAAGTAAAGTAATGAATAAAGTGATGAAAGTAGAATTTGAACTTGATAGAGAAAAATAAATTTGTAAAATGATTTTTAAAAATACATACTTTAAGACAAATTATCTCACGTGATGCAAAGTCTTGGTTACCTGAATGTTTTCCAGATCTTTCTTGTAATTCATTTGGATCCCAAAGTCCTCCTCTGTTTCCCGCTCCATCACACTCTGCTCTGGTAGACAAGATGTATTTGGGATGAAAAGAGGTGCCTCTGTGCGGGATTTGCTCTGTTTCTCTCTGGAAACACAGGCCTTGGTGTAGTAGCCATGTAAGTGCTTCATCTCCTCTTCGTGGATCTGCTGCAGTTCCTTTATCTTCTCCTGAAACTCGTCTTCCAGTTTTTCCACTCGTTCTGCATGATAATCCTCAATCTTCTGTATGTCTTCTAGGAGTTTCTGGTTCCCGGTCTCTACTGATATTATCTTCTTTTCAGCCAGCTCCAGTTCTTTTCTCAGCGTGCCGTTGTCTTCTTGAAGCTGGCTTATTGTGTCATTTAAGGCCTCCTGCTCCTCTATTACATCGTTGCGCTGCTCTTCCAGTTTGTTCACGTCAATTTGAAACTCCTGCTTTAAATCCATGTACATCCGCTCTGACAAATAAATTAACTTTGCCTGGTCCAGCATACATTTTAAGTCAAAGGCAGCAGCTTCCTTCCCTCTATGCTCCATGCCATCACCACCGACAGGTCTGCTGTCACCAGAGTTCACCAGGCAGAGCTGGTGTAAAAATGTAGCCCTTCTCTGCAGCCGGGATATTAGTCTCTCTAACCAGTCTGGCTTTTTCTTTCCCTCCATTTTTTTGTCATCTGATTGGTCCTCTTCTTCTGGTTCTTCCAAGCCCCTGGCATCTTCCTGCAGTCTCTCCTCATAAGAAGCCAACTCCGAGGGGCTGATATCTGCCAGACCCGTCATTCGATCCTCAGCGTCTTTGCTGTTTACTGGAGTCACACCCTCGTATTGTTGATGAATTTTTAAGGCAGCATAAATTAGCTCCTCTTCAGCACAAACTGTACAGATTAAACTTTCTAAAAGTTCATTGTTGTCACACCCTGTTCTCTCAGATCGCATCCTTTCTTGTGCTTTTAACGCTATTCTTCGAGTGATTATGTTTTTGTACCTTTGTGCCACATCCCCCTCATCGTTTCTTGATATTGAGGTTATCTGACCATGTTGGCTCTGAAGGACAGACACGATTTTTTCTACTACGAATATTTCCATCATTAAGCACCTCTCAACACTTCCCCCCTCATCCAAAGAGGACCAAGTATTAGTCGGTTTACTCATGTTACTCTTAGCCCCGGCTGATTTCTCTTCATTGAGGATCTTGCCCTCTCCTTTGCTGACATTATATGATTCATGCTGGTGTTTCACTGCATCTTTCTCTCCTTGCTGAAGACAGGCAGCGACAGTAGCCAGCTGTTTCTCCAAGTCTGGAATATCGAGGGGACTAGCTTGAAGTCTCTCTCTGCAGGCCTGTATGATGTTCTGAGCCACCTGAAACCTGCCGACTAGCATCCTGCAGCGATTCTCTGTCTCTTGGGCAAAGCACTGGCTCTTCTTGGCCTGATTGTGAAGAAGTAGACTGAGGTGCTGGGTAGTCGCTCGACTCTGGGTCAGCTGGGAGCAAAGCTGGGGGTCCCGGCAGCTGATGTGACTCTGGTGTTCCTCCAGCCTTTGTGTGATGTCTCTTAACTTCTCCTCTGTTACATAAAGCTTGGTTTCAAGCAGCTGGATTACAGACATAAAGTGCTCTGGGTCATCTCCTGCAGTGATGAGGTACTGATATGATTCATCCAGTGATTGTGTGCCATTTTCTGCAGGTTCTTTAGAATTCATCAGGCTGACATCTGCAATATTGGACCTGTTAGACAACTGGTAACTGTCTATATCCTTTTCCACAGTGATATGCTGTGTTGCTTGCTGTTGCCTCTTGTTATGCTGAATAGTCTCTGCTGAGTTATCCTGCAGCTGAGAAGAGGCACAGGTGCATGCTCTCAGCACCTCATTCAGTTTCACTTCCGTCTCCTCCAAGCTGTTACCCAAGACTTCCATCTTTAGCAAAACTTCACTCAGCTCTTGCTCCTTCCTATCGAGTTGTCTCTCATATCCTTCTCTTATGTCCTGTGTATCAGACTCCCTTTGCTGCAGTTTTCCCAGTGCCACCTGCAGTTCCTCACAGACTCTCTCATATGTGTGCTCCAGGTTGTAGTAGTGTGTTTCTTCTGTTTTCAAGCGCTCCTGCAGCTTGCCCACCTCCTTGTCTGCCTCTGCTAACTGATCCTGCAGCTCAAGGCAGCGACGATCGAGTTGCTCCCTTTCGTCCTGGAGTCGCTGTATGGCAGATATTGTACGTGCCAGCTCTTCCTGAAGCTGCCGTTGTGCCACCTCGATTTCTCTCGTCCACGTCTGGGTCTTAGTGAGACTCTCTACCTGCTGCTCAGACCTGTCCAGTTTCTCCTGGAGGTCTTGTGAATGCTGCTCAGCCTGTGCCAGGCTTGCCATCAAGCTCCGTCGCTCCCTCTCCTGACTTGCTTGAAGAAGCGTGAGGTGCTTCTGTAGCCGAGCATCTTTTTGAGCCTGAGTCTCTTCATAGTTATGAAGCTTTGCTGACACCTCATCCAGATTTTTCCGCAGCTTCTCAGCCTCCAGCTGAAGGTTTTGGTAGCTATCTAATTCCTGCTGAAGCTGTGTCAAGCGAGACTCGGACTCCTTCCTCTGCTCCTCGCTGATGTTCAGCTGGGACTTCAGCAAGGCCACACAGCGCTCCCACTCCACCTGCCGCTCCTCAAACCTCTGGCGATCTTGCTCGATATGGGCTTGTGCGAGTGCCGTGGCGTCACCCGTAACCAGCAGCTGAGCTTGCTGGGCTAAGAGATCTACTCTTCGCCGTAGTTCTGCCTCTCTGGCTTCCTCCTGACTTCTCTTTTGTGCTTCCAGCTCAAAGCGAAGGTCCTGATTTATCTTCTGCAGTCGCTGTAGAGCCAAAGATTGCTGTGAAGACGAGTTGGTGTTATTCTACAAGACAAAAAGTTTTGATTAGGAGAAAACTTTACATTATATTATATTATACTTCCTGATGGCTTAAAAGAAAAGTTAACATTTCATGGATGGAATCTGCTGCTTTAAAGCATTTTAACTTGGAAATTTGCTCAACATTTAAGGATGCACCGGAATATGAACTGAATATCACTATTAGCCAACAATGCCCTTGCTAATTGATACTATCATGGCATTTATCAGTGTTCATGGCTGATGGTTAACTGCTAAACTTCCCTGGTTTTGTTCCAACAAAGAGGGAAATCACTATTTATTTAGTTATTTATTATTTGTTTATTTATTTTAATTTAATCTTTACTTAACTTAAACTTTTTTTCACAGGAGACCTGCCAAAGACTCCACACCAGTATGAAAGGAAGTCAACAAGTAAAAAGCTACTTTCGGCTGTTGCATTATTCATGAACAGTCAGCACAGCACACAGCTCAGCACGTTTGGATTGACATATTTTACAGAAGACGCTGCCTGCATGTAAATTATTTGACTGTAATCAAGCACATTTAAAAAAGCAGCTTGTACATGTGTTTTCTTAACAGATACATAAAGACAGGCCCTATTTCAAACTCAGCCTAACCTTCCCTTTTTTCAAGTGCTCAATATGCTTTCTGAAGGAAAGTCTGCCATCGGACTAGATATATGTCACGGTCAGATTTTGAGTTTTGTTCTGGACTTCTGGTTTCTGTGAGTTTAGTTTCATCTTTTGTGCTTCCCTTCAATATCCTGTAACCCAGTTGTGTCCCGGGTCATGTACCCATGTCTGTCTCCATTCTCCCTCTTTCTTTGTGTGTGTGTGTGGGAGCATGCATGCGTGTGTGTGTGTGTGTGTGTGTGTGTGTGCTGGATTTCCGCATTCCGCATTGTTGGGACCAGAGGCAATTCCCGCCTTCAGGCTCGCACACCTGGTGACAATCACGCACCTGCTCTGATGAGCTTCTTTGGGCAGCTTCATAAGGAAGCAGCAGTGGGTTAGTCTTGCTGGGTTGTTGCCTTGAAAGCAGACAGTGAAGCTCTACTCTTGCTCTTGTTACAGTTTGGAATTATTGTTATATTCAACAGTCTGTCCCTGTGCACGGAGTCAGCTGTGGTGAGCTGACTCTCGTGTGGATTCTGGGAGAAAATTGATATCATCTAGATTTAAATAGAAGACTTAAGGAGTCTCATGCATTATACCTGTGCGCCAAAGCAGTCCCTTGAATGGATCTCTTTCTCTCTTTGCAGCTCGTCCTGCAGATTCCTGTTTAGCTGCTGGAGTCGAGACAGTTCCCTCTGAGTTTGTTCCAGCTGATAAAAAAAGAGTAATAAACTGGATGTGTTCATTTATTCGACTGATTCATTCGATTTTTCTTTAGTAGATTACAGATATCTGTATTGATGTTTCCTAAAAATGCAGACCAAAGATCAGACTTTTGTACCTATATAAGTTGGACTCTGCTTTTTGGTTTGATGCATAAGAATATATATCATGTATGTTCTTGTTCTTGTGGTGGAAATGCAAATACAATCTCACCTCTTTGACAAGTTGCCCAGTTTGCTGCTCACATGCCAGAGTTTCCTCAACTTTTGTGCAATCACAGGTGCTGTTTACCTGCTGGTCTTCCCTCTGGAGACTCTGTTTAGTCTGATGTTCACTTGCAGTCTGTATATTCAAACTGTCATTCACCACGTCCTTTGGCAGCACCACTGAGCTGAGACTTTGGCATTCTTCCCACCCTTTGCACAGAAGACCACGTGTTTTGTTTTTTTTAAAAAAGTATATATATAATATGTTAACATATATTCTGTTAGATTCATATTTATGGCATGTGTCAGTATAACTAGATATGATTTTAGATTTCACAACAGATCATTGAATAAGTTACCTAAGTCTGAGTTTGTTTAATGGCTCACCAGTTTGTGTGGTTCCACTAAGAAACAAGCATTGGTGAGCAGCTGTGCCCTCCTCCTCCACCTCGGATGGAGAATCGGTAGGAGCTGGAGCACCAGGTGAGCCAGGGAGAAGAGACAATGGAGCCTTTCCATTGACTGAGCTCTGCACTCTTTCTACCTGCACTTTGGAGTCCTCTTTTTCCTGCTGCTGATGTGAAACTTCTCTCTGGTTGCTGATTCCATGTTCTTGCAGCTGCTGAGTCTCCGGCTCTGAACGAGAGCTGTGAGTACAATTTAAGTAAATTCATCTACTGAGCTTGCTTATAAGCATTTAGACTATCATAAACCTTCCAAAAATCATCCCATACCCACTAGAATATATATTAATATAATGCAGCATTACAATGATGCAGCACTTATCTTTTAAAAAAGTCTACCTTGTGTTGTCATGTGTAAAACTGGGCCGCACGTTCTTGAACACTGCGTGGACCCAGTTCCGTTTCATCCCAGCAGTCATTGCACACAGCGTGTACACCCCGTCTGTGGTCTGTGAAAGTGGACACAGTTTTTATCACCAAACCTTTAAGGATTTTTTGGCTTAAAACGGTTTCCCACTGCAGTGTCACCAGTATCTTTACTTAAAATGTTGGATGACTTTGTTATTTTTCTTGAAAACTTACAGGGCTGTAATAAATTTGGGTTTTTGCATGTTTGTCACACTTTAATGTTTAATATCAAACATGTTTTCCTCTAAATAAAAGATCATCACTTAAAAACTGCATTTCATATTTCCTCGACTTATCTTTGACTAATATTAAAATTTGTTTAATGATCTGAAACATAAAAGTATTACAAATGTATTTAAAAAAATCAAGAAGGAAGCAAATAACAAGCTGGATTCTTTCTACCCAGCCCATGCACTAATGCCTGCCCTTTATTGTCAGTTTTGTTTTATGCAGTAACTGCTCATTTAAGTGGTAAATGGTCCAAGGACACAACGACCGAGACTGTCGGAGCAAGGTCCCAGCAACCTTCCGATTACAAGACGAACTGCAAACTCTTGAGCCACGATCGCCCACATTTAAGGGCAGTAATAGGAGTTGTAGTGTAATAAAGGTGTTGTCCTTTCTCAAAAATAGTGAATAGTACAAAGCCAATGACAGATGCCTGTGGCACAGATTTAATAACCTGAATAACTCCAGGCAGGACCATTCCTACTGTCTAAATATATAAATATGGATATTTAAATTCTTGGGTTTGCCTTTATGTGGAGTGATTTTCAACCCACTATCATAAGATATTTACAGAATGGTCTGTAGTTCATCAGCTGCAGCATGAGTGTGTTAATATTTAAACAGAAAACTGTCATATATACATAAATAAGATCTTAAAATTAACAATACCAGTTTCTTTGCTTTGATGCAGTGATGGTGTTGTGCACTGGTGGAAACCAAAGAGGAGGAAGGCTCTGCTAGATGCGGGGAGCTGCTTGTTTTCATTCTGTCAGCATTATTTCCATGGCATGGCTCTTTGCTACCTCTGATTAAAAACATAAAAGCAGATGGACAAAACAGGAACATACTGACTGCAGACCATATGTAACATTTATTTTTCATTAGAAAAACAGCAGCATTTCAGAGAAGAAGCGTTTTAAACAAATTTAACCAAACCTGATTTTCTCCAAAGAGGAAGACAACCGACTAGAGTTCAGAGTCTTCTTCCCAGAGGCTTGTCCTTTCTTAGCTTGTGACTTCCCTAATGCACCGTCTGACTCTGACATAAAGGCAGCAGTGAAGATAAAAAACAATCTGTGAGTCCTTTTCAGTGTATTTATCATTATTTTCTTTCTAAATCAGCAACTTCTTCATCTTTAGATTAAGAGAATTATTTAGGAAGTTAGCCTTAATGGATAGTCTGAATATTTATTTTAAAACTAGAAAACTAGACACAAAGATGAAACATGCGTGGAGTTACCTTCTCCGGCAGATTTCTGGTCGAGCCTGTTGAGAGAGCGGCTGCTTCTCATGAAGGGAACAGCAGAGAGGGAGGTGGTGTGGAGGGATGAAAAGCTTCGGCTGCTGCAGAGGCGGGGACCTGCTCTGGCTGTGTGGGATGCTTGTCTGGCAATCGGGTGGCTAGCAGAGCCCGGGTGGCTGAGGCTGCCTCTTTTCAAACTCCCGCCAACTTTACTAACAGCTGCAGTCAAGTTGCTGCCTCTGCCCAGGCTGCTGCTCCGTCCGCTGCTGACACCGGCTTTAGACACACTGCTGCCGGCCTGCTTCCCTCCAGGTGCTGGTAGTGATGTGAGGTCCTACGTAAGTGATAGAGAGAGAAAACGAAGCCTCGGTGGTTGTGTGAGGAGAACTCAATCACAAAATGATGAAGTTCTGCATGTTTTTCACTTATATCTCATGTTCACCCTCCCATCCTAGCTTCCCGTCTTTGACACACACAATGAAGAGCACCATTTAATCCTGATCGGAGCTCTTAATTTGCTTAAGAACCATCTGACGACACTGCAACCATGAACACACACACACACACACAAGCTGTAAACTTAATCACACTTGAGCGCTTGTGCACACTCGGAGAGCCAGCAAATCTATTCCAGTCTCAGTAGATGCACCCTCACTAACTGCAGAGGTAATGAATCTGCGGCTGGATCTCACGACAGAGAAATCAATTAGAAGATGCTCGACTAAGTCCTGACTTGGCGATATGTGCAGGTTTTAACTGCACCATGTTGATCTTTAGCCATTAATGGCTACGTAAATCAAAATCAAATGCGTGAAAATCTCACAAAAAACAAAAAACATGCACTCAGTCTGAGGGAACTGTCCGTGGTTACACAGTCTGAGACTAAAGAAAGGGGTGCTGTTTCAACTGTAATGCGTATCTGCCGCGGATGATCAATACAAATCATAAAAGGAAATACTTGTTTTGTTTTGTTTGTGAGCATAACACAGCACATTTTTTCACTAAAAGCTTGGCAGTGCGGTTTAATGTCAAACTCATTTTACATTGTGGCCCACATACAGCCCACACCTCCCAGTGAAACACCCCTTTCCATCAGTGTAAAGTAGTTAAACTTCACATTTTATCTAAATAGAACAAAAAAGAGGTGCACTTGCAACAGAACGGCTCGTTTTTTACATGATAAAGAAATGTTGCTGTAGTTAATGAAATACATCTGTTAGCACGACTCTTTGGGCTTAAATTGTAAGAAATAAATGTTAAAATTACAGAAAACATTCTGCTAGCTTGTTGTCAAGACAACCCTGTAATTTTAAAACAAAACATTTTGGTAATTCACAGAAAAATTCTTATTAGATTTATTTATTTTACTGTGAACACATTTTTAAAAAATTCTATTGTAGATAGTGAAAAAACAGGACCTTTTCTGCAATTTCATTAATTTATGTGCTCCTTTACATTTTCCAAAAACATCCAGTGGACTGGTTTCGAGTATTTGCCGGGATACTTCTAGCCTCCAGGCCTAAGGCTTGCTACCCCTGATCTAAGGTATGTTAAGAAGGGTTTAAAAAGGATGAGACCAGTGTCCTGTCAAACCTAAATTACAATATTTAGATGTTTGAAAATGACTTGTTGGATTATAATCTGTAAACATATTTTAACATATAATAATCCCCGTAATTACATCTATAAAAGCAACACTAAATGATCTTACTGAGAGTTTTAAACCTGCACTTACCTTTCCCCCTTTCTTCTGTGTGGGATTGTTGGTCTTAGTGTTCATCGGGGTCTCCTGCCACCTGCGATAGATAAGATTAAGGCAGCTTCACATAAATCCTGGCAACAGACAACCTGAACTTTCCCGAAACACTTATTTAATGTTATTGTTTTATTTGGTTACAAAGATAAAGATACTACCTTTCTTTTTCATATTACTAGTTTCACAACAGCTGCATTGATATTATATTTTACTTATAAGAGAGCTTGTGAAATAAACCCAACAGCACACAGCTAGTGATGACTGCTGCTGGTCAAAATGATAACCTGCGCAGGTACTTTTATTCATGAAAACATAACGATGAGGCTCACATGCCAAGTAAACAGCAAACATCAAACTAGGTTTGATTCATGAAAGACTATGAGGTTAACAAGCATAACGATGTAACAATCTGCTAAAGTTTTTACTTTAACTGAGAAAAAAAGCCAAAAATTAGAAGAACTGTTGTATAAGGTACATTTAGTTTATACCTGTCTTCATATCGACTTGTTTTAAAGTAATAAATAAGTAAATAGGTACCTACCTTGGCTTCTTGGACATCATTTTCAGTCATCCAAGGTTAACACCCTGACAGAGACTAACGAAACGCAAGAACTTTTGGCTCACATTGTGATCTGTCTGGTAGATGTGAGCTCTGTTTTACTCTGGCAAGATCACAAGAGAGAGAGAGAGAGCAAATCACATACAGGTCTGTACCACAGAGTCCCAGAGAAACACATCACACGCACACGTAATCCCACAGCGAGTTGGCAAACTCCATTAGAGTTTTGCAGGATTAGGTCAACAGCTTAACTGGATTACTACACAGTCATTTTAGTGAAGTTAATGTATTGACTTACATTGTCCTTATAGCCTACTCCTGATGTCTGTCAAGTATTCCTCTCACATGGGCACAAGGGTATAGTGGAGAAAAACACACAAGCTCAGTTTGTGTCCTGGGTTATCGTCCGCTGACTGTACGCTTGATGTGCTGAAGACGCGCCTGCCACTGCGAATCCCTGAGCTGTGACCTGACCTGAGCTATCAAGAGCAATTTCTCAGACACAAACACTTGTCTGGATAAAAATCCCTTCTTGTGTGCAAATGTGCCATTTCCCTCTTAAAGACAAATTCTATATCTGTTAATAAACATATTTTAAAATATCACACCATGAAATGAAAGCTAAAGTGCCATAAATTAGTCGTACAGGGGGAAAGGTGTAACTGTGATACAGTTATAATAATAATATCTTTATTTGTACGGCACTTTTTTAAAAACAGCTCGCGCTTCACAGTTTGCATAAAATCACACATTTAGGATGAGTGTACAAACAGATTGTGAAACACAAGCTCTTACATGCACACTTTAGAATTTCAGCAGCTGTTTAACACAAATCACAGATGCAGCTGACCTGAGAAAGGCTGTTCCAATCAAGTTTAGGAGCTACAACCACAACAGTATAATATATATATATATATGATATTGAATATGCAATTCCAACACACTTTTACAAACCTATTTTCTCTGCACTGGAGAGAAGAGAAATGAAAGTCAGTAGAAGCAAGACAGAATGCGTGTGTGACTGATAGGTAGACAGGTGTAATAGTGAAGCTGGAGGGAGCAGAGGTGGTGAAGGTGGATGAGCTTAAATACCTGTGACCAGGCATCCAAAGCAATAGACAGTGCATAAGAAAGGTGAAGAAGAGGCGGAGTGGGTGAAGACAAGTGTCAGGGGTGATTTAAGGTATTAGTGTAGCTATGATGTGTGGTTTAGAGATGTTGGCACTGACTCGGAGGGACAAGATGAACAGGATTAGAAATGAGTATATGAGAGAGACGGCTCAGGCTGAGTGGTTTGGACACAAAGTTAGAGAGGCAAGGCTGAGTGTGGAGGCCTATCTCCCCTCACCACACTCCCTGCCGGTGACTGATGCCCTCAGGGGTCGGTGCATTGTTGGTTCTTGGTGTCCGGGGCTGGGCGCTCAGGT